GGGAGTCGGGGTGGAAGATAGTCGGTCAGTTGGTAGGAAACCTTAAGCATCAGAATGAAGAGCTTTGATTTTGCAAATGTTGCCATTGGATAGCAATTGAAGATGTCTGGAATTCGGTATTGACACGATGTTAAGGTTAGACACTGAATCAGTCTGAAAATTTGCTTAACAAGTTGTTTTTTTTTTATATCCCATAATGTGAATATTGCAATTCTTTCCAAGTCAACCAAAGAAGTAAATAAGAGGCCCACTTACGCTAAGCTCTGACCCCCAAGTCCTGCATGTTTAGGCCTAGGCTGTTTCCCTAACCTCATTGCCTTTGTCTTTGTATGTTCACTCGTGTATAGAGAGCATCATGCTTATTTATGAGGAGACCAAATAGGTATTAACCTTAGAGCCTTTGCATTTATTCTTCTTGAATTCGTTTTCCCCAAAACAGCACCTCCCTCTGCCGTCCCACACTCTATTAGTGGTGTCATTTTACTTTATAGTCTATCATCTGCTATAAAATTATTTTCTGGATAAAGTATTCCCATCTGATACTGTTGGCTTCTTTGTTTTCTTTTGTCTTACTAAAGTTTGATTACCAAAAGGAATGGAACTTGACCTTGTTCATTGTTATACCACAGACTCACTGTAATAATGGAGATGTTGGGGGTCTAAAGTTAAGTGCCCTCTTTAAGAAAAAGAATAGAAAGTTAGCAAACAGAATAGAAATGAAAATTAATATTTACTCAGAATGCCAGAAAAACTTCATTGTAAAGTTTAAATATAAGCATTGTAAGTATAATCATTACAAAATCTAGAAAAATAATATTTTATTGTTTTATTGCCTGACCCACTCCTGTCCCTTTTTCCTCCCACAATTTTTAGTAACATTGTTTCTGATTGACTCTCATAACCATTTTGTCCTATAATTTTCTATAAAGAGAATAGAAAATCATTCTTTTTACTAGCATGGATGATTGGATTTAAATTACTGAGAGTTTAGAAAGCCTTTCAACATCAAAATGCRTTATTGCTAATGTCTTGTAAATTTTAAATTATGGTGAAATACAAAAAGAAAAATCTGGTGCTGGGCTGTAGCTCAGTGGCAGAGCTCTGACCTAGTATGTGTGAGACACTGCGTTCGATCCTTGGCACCGCATAAAAATCAACAAATAAAATAAAGGCATGCTATCCATGTGCAACTACAAAAAAAATTTTAAAAAGAAAAATCTCTGAAGTTCTTTAGCATTTGGGCCATAATGTTTGAAAGGTTATTGCAGAGAATAGTTTCTGGCTTTATGCATTTCTAACCTGCTTCTTCTCCACCATACACACTTCCTAGTCCTGGGGGCCCTAGTACATAGGCAAAACCTCTGACCCTATATTTCTCTTTTAAATGGATGACTTTGTGTAGTGAGCGGTAGGAGTGTTCTGGAAGCCATTCCTACACCAGGACACAATAACCTAACTATAAACAGAAGTAACTGTAAATCAAATAAATAAGCCTCAATAAACCTATCCTCAGTGCATCCCTAAMTCAACTTCTCTTAGCTCAGTTCCAGAAATAACCAAGAGCCATTTAAACAYTACACATCAGGACAGAAAGATGCTAGGATGCAAAGAAGACAGCAATTATAACCTTGCAGTTAAATCATTTTGCTTTTGCAAATTTTGCATGTGACTGACAGTATACTTCAAGGCCCCTATAAGAACCTTGAAAAAAGATCTGTGCAAGTAAGGGGCTCTAAAAACCAAGCATTTTTAGCTTTGCTGTGAATTCACTTCTGCCAGCACCTAATGGTATTTTTAGGTACAAAGTAGACCCTAAGGGGGGGGGAAATATATATAAAATGTGTGTGTGTGTGTCATGTTTTATCAGGAAAGCAAATACAGAAAATATATATACACACAGACATAAATTTTATATATATATATATATACATATATATATATATATAATTGTTAAATGAATAAGAAAGTACTTCTTTGTTTCTCTTTCATAGAATTGCTGAATTGAGGTGTCTTATGTTTAATTGGACCCATTAACTCTAGGTTTCATCTATCATATTGAACTATGTTAACTCTGAGTGATTTGGGCTCTATTCTCAATATAAAATATATTAATGAGAAGCACAGATACATTGACTCTTTTCTTTTCCTTTCTGTGGGGAAATGAACAATTTCTGGGCAATTTTATCATTCCATCAATTGCGCTTCCTCACAAGTACAGGGCAGAGCCAGTACTTAGAATGTCTTATTACGGACATTATGGGAAAACTTTTCTCAGTGAATATGTATGTCTTTTTAGGAAGAATACATGCTAGTCTGTGACATTTATTCTATTATTTTTGCAACATCTAGGAAAGGAGTTGTCCAAAAATTTTTACTGACATAGCAGCTAGAGGGAGCTGAAAATTTTGAAGGTCCATATTTTCCAGATGATATAAAAACATAACTTTACTCGAATTTTAATTTAACTGTCTAATATGAAACTAGGGATAATAATAGAAAGGAAATTGGCTGGTCAGGTAACAAACTTTGTATTGAATGGGATTTGCTTAGAGTTCCTGCCTCACCTTCAGAATGTTCCTTTCACACTCTTGCCCAAGGTTACCAGACCAGACTTTCTGGTAATTTAAAGAACCTATAAAATCAAATGATGCCTTATAAAACCAGACTCTTGAGTATACATTTAAGTGCCATTGAAAAGCCATGTGCCATTTTCTGGATCTAGAGGCTTTTAGAGAACACCAGAATCAAAATATGTCTTGCAAATGCTGATTTTTTTTTCTTCTAGGCATTCAGATGGATACAGTTGAAAGAAGATAAAAGGTTATGAGGCAAATAATGATCTATTGACAGCAAAGTTGTGGATTACTGCTAGGCTTTTATTTGTGTGCTTAATTTAAGATGATAGAATATTTGTGATGCTGTGAGTGGAAATACTAGGCGATCCTGAATCAAATACAGAAAATATTTCCAACATTTACATGTTTGTCACTTTCACATATTTTTAAAAACTTCAAGACAATCTTGGGACCTAATTGGATATACACAGTATTTAATATGAAAGGACAAATGTAGGTGTAGCTATTCATTTTGGATATTTTGGAAGGAAAATATATGTATCCATTKGATGGTGGATTTTTCTGGGAGGTGATGTGCTTTGGTTCTAAAGCAGTGACACTATGAGGTTCCCTGTCAAGGACCATGTTACTGGCCATATTGATTTTCTGATCATAGTAAAATCTTTTTAGTCTCTTGCAGATAATTTGCTGCTGTACTTCTGTTTACTGCAGCTTGAGGAAGGGAGGAATAGGTCAGTTTGAAAGGATTAAGAGAATGGCTAAAAATTATAGGCTGCCTGTTAAAATACCCTCATAGTGTGTAAGTATTTGTCATAAGTAGAGTAGGGTGAGTCACGTTTTACCAGGAAAGCACAGATGTGTTTCAGTATGATTAGAAAAAGGTAAAGATTTTTGTCCTTAGTGTCATTCAGCTAGTATAATGAGCATTATTGATTAAAATGTTAGGATCAATAAAGATTTAAAGTTGCAGTAGAGGAGACCTTACAGAAGAGAAAAAGGTTACAGTCTGTTGAGTAGGCAGGCAATTAAATGCTTTGTAGAAAATTGATTTCTTAAACTTGAACTGTCAGTTACTCTGCTTGGTCTTCATCAGCATGGGTTCTTCTGCAGAATATGCACAGAAAACAATATGCATTCCTATAAGACTCATACACCAAATATTCGTGAACATCGTGTACAATGAGAGGTTCATTATTTAAGGTTTTCCAAAGAATTCTCCATCATGGTAATGAGGAATGATGCCTTTAAAGTCATTGAGCAATCAATAAACTTAACATTGTTTCTTCTTAGAATTTATATATATATGTCATATTTTGTCAGATTCTAGTATTTAAACAGTAATGTTTTAAATCCCTCTTTTTCTCAACTCATCAGTATCAAAATCTACCAAATGTATTGGACTTTTTGTGTTACAGCCTCATAACCAAGGATCAGGAGTTAGATATTCTTCACACAGAAGCAATTTCACTGCTATTTGTTGCTTATTACTGTTATTTATAGAAGAAAATACTGGACTGATCTGGAAAAATACATGAGTAGGACAACAAACAGTACAGGGGTCAATGCCAGAGTAGAGAAAAGACTGTAATCAAACTATCAACAAGTCAAGAAAGGAAGTAAAATCCACTAATACAAATTTTAGGAAAAACATCTCAATGAGCATTTTTTTTAAAGTGTGTGCAAAAATATCCCTAAACAATCCAGAGGCCAGTACCTGAAAAACATCTCAATGAGCATTTTTTTTTAAAGTGTGTGCAAAAATATCCCTAAACAATCCAGAGGCCAGTACCTGAAAATACTAATGGTTGCTGTGGAGAAAAGGTGGAAAGGTATAAAAGAAAGGCTTAGTGGAAAGAAAAGAACAAAGACTGACCAGTCCCCTCACTTCTGGTTAGGACACATTTCTTAGGGCTATGCTTGCATTATATTTCCATATAACTAATTTAAATTTGTTTTGAAACTTTTACAAATAGTGTTTTAGATTGGGTAAAAAAAAATTTTTTTTGAAATCAAACTTGACCTTAGTGAAACASTGAATTTCACTGCTTATTTTTCTAAGATATTTGTGCATGTGTTGAAATGCAATAACTATCGATATGTAGAAATGAACGAAAAACATTACAAATTCATTTCTTCTAAGTTGCATAAAATATCAATAAAAATAATAGTTAATTATAAAAGTTATTTAATGTCCTTTGGAGGAGCTCTTTTACAAACAACTCATTATAGGTTCGTTTCAATTTTGAATTCTTAATTGTGACTCGATAACCTGTTTTCAGGTATTCTGGATAGAGAAATCAGTAGTTCATTGTCTAGCTACTTTGATTTTGGTGGATTTCCGATCTTGTAATCAATAGTTCACACTGTCTGGAAGAATGTTTTAGAAACCAGTGRGTTCTCACTTCCTCTTGCCTTGGCACACAGGTGCACCCTGAGTGTGACACTGGAGCAAGCCATCATTCTAGCCAGGAGCCATGGGCTGCCTCCTCGCTACATTATGCAGGCTACAGATGTGATGCGGAAGCAGGTGAGTCTAATGCCTGTTTAGGGAAGTTTTAGAACTCCCTGTGTTTGAAGGTTCCTTTGTCCATTCATCAGGTCAGGTGTCTGGTGCCTTGATGTGTAGGGCACTTTTCCAGACACATGACTTGGTAAGGTAAGTCGTGGGTAAGAAGCAATACTGTGGGATGAGAACTTGGTACAGACTCTTAGGTAAGKGTTCTCCAAGAATTTTGGACAACCCTGGAAAAAAAGAGGTCTATGCAGTAATCTCAAGGAGTAAAGAGAATTGGCTATGCAAATTAGGACAGGAATGGACTAGGGGCTTGTGCAAGGGACAAGATAAAGGACATTTGGAATTTTCTGGAAGTTGTAGGTGATTTAGTAAATCTTGGGGAATGGATTGAGAGAGGTACAGAGGCAAGAAAGAAGATGGAAAAAATTGAGCAATCTGCTTACTTATTACATACTTCTGGTGATCTCTCAGACTTCCATGCTATGCTAAGAAGTATATGTTTTATTTCAAGGATAAAGTGCTGACTTCAAATTTTGTTTTAGAGAAGGAATAAACAGCCTTTGGGCTGTGTTTAGGTCACTGGAATACTCATAGTTGAGAATGTACTCTCTGAATTAATAGAATGAACTTTGTATGCCATCACCCAATAGCTTTTTTAAAGAGTAGTAGCTTAGTTTTTAACTTGTAAAATTCTTTTAAAAAATCAAAATAAAAAATGGACTAATTTCAGTTTACTAATTAGGAAATAAGCTTCATCTAGAAGAAAAGACAACCTACAGAATGACCAAAAAAAATCAATACTAGTTGTTTTGTTTTTTTTTTTTTTTTTTTTTTTACTTTATTCTATCACCTTTAAGCTACTACAGTAGCAAATCTCTTTATTTGCTGCTTTGGTTCAAGTTGTGCAGTGATAGTGAATGATTAATTCTTAAGGTATGCATTTGCAATTATGACTGCTTGTATTTACCAAAGATTTAGTGTATAACTCCTAAACATACACATAAATCCCTCTGGGCTTGCTCCCAAGATTACAGTACAGAATGTCAACCAAGCCAATGAAAAAAAATCAACAAAAGATTACCACTGAGCTGGCACCTGCACTGTAGAGATCAGGTACAGTGAGGGYATATACATGACACTTCTGGGTAAAAACCCAAGAACTGAAGATTGACAACCAAGATCTTAGAAGGTCAAAGGATTTACTAAGTAAAGGTTAGGTCTACCAGAAGTTTGGGATAAACTGTTGTCCAGCTGTCAAAGGACAAACCCAGATGCAAATTGCCAGAGGGCTCAGGAAGAATTTTTGGAGAGTAGATATGCAAATTATCTTTTAAAAAGTAAATCAAAATAAACTTCTGATTAGTTACATTAGAATTGTATTCGCATCGATAATTTTATTTTATTGTGTCCCTCTTAGAGTAAGTTTCTAGGAGAACTTGGAAGAGCCATCTCAAAATTGTGACATATGGCAAGAATCCACCTTTCTTTAGAATATTCCATTAAGGAGGCTAAGTCACTACATATACATTCCTACATCGTGGAAATGAATAGCCATGATTCTAATATCTTTAACTTCCTAAAACTGAAAATGGAAATAGAGATAAAGTAAAGACAATGTTTTATAAGCCTAATAACTCATTTCATGGTGCACAGCTCTTTAACGCATGGTATATTTATACAGTATTAATACATGATATCTGGAATATCATTTAAAATACTGAAAAGTCATGCAGTTTCTTGTAATGTCTTTATTGATTTCTGAGCTGCATTATTTTCCCAGTATTTATCACTCTTTCCTGCTCCTTATTTTTTAAAATAAGTACATTTAGAATACTTTCTTCCTTTCTTTGCTGATTCCTCAGCACCAAGTTATGCATCCCAAATAACTGATTTAAAACTTCTTTGTGGAAGATCTTAGGGCCTGGGGCTCTCTTTTAGKGAAAGCAAGCAGATGTTTCTACAGTATTCTTTCTGAGGCCAATCTTCTTTTCAGTATTCAGCCAAAGTACATGGTGGGTTTATTGGCCGGGATCCAGTCTCCAAGCCAATTCTTACATACTTAGAATCTGAGAAGTTAGAATACAAATCTAAATCAAGGCTAGAACTTGGATTTTCTGTCCTTTTTGCTTTCCAACCTCAGAGAAAAATATTTAACCATTTAGACTCAACTTTTCAGAGATAGAGAGGTTAGAAAAGTTTTTATCTTTACTATAACTTGAAGTATTTGAATTATTTCATTATCAATTTGAATTTTTATATTTTAAGGTATAATAGTTTATTATCTATGTATTGAAGTTTTGCAATACATAATAAACAATACAATGAATAAGCTAAGATCTTCAGTTTCTTTCTAGAAATGAACTTTTTGACATGATTTATTCTTATTTATAATTTCAGTATTATTTTCATGTGTATATTTTGTACACATGGTATTTTAATTTGTTGCTTGAGTTTGAAGAAAGGATACAAGATAGAAGGGAAAGTGACCATATAAACTTGCACTTTTTGATAATATTTACAATAACCACAAGCAGCTCTTTTATATAACCAGGTGATCTGAAAATATTGAGGTCTAAAATTTTATTTTCATTATAAACTTATTAAAGTTTTCCATGCTAGAAAATATGCATACCAAATGTCCTTTTAGGAAGCCTATGCAAAAATTGTTTTTGATCTTTTTAGTAAAAGCTGGGATTCCAACATATTCTATCTTCATACCTTTGGTGTCAAGGATCCTACTAGTCACCAAGAAAAGACTTGGGTGTGATGAAGTCCTGGCCTAGTCTCATGGTGGAATATGTAGGCAAATTGCCAGGATACAGGCACCCACATGCAAGTGTAAAACCTCAGTCTTTCAGGATACAGAACAGGGAGCATGGTCCCTCAATAATTGGGAAACTGAGACTTATTCATTATGGTATCAGAGTTTCCTAGAATAATACCTAGTATAAAGTTAGTGCTAAATGAGGTTTGTTCAGTAATGGTTGTAGCTGGGAAGATTGGAAAAGGCATCTCACACAAGGTGAATATTTGATCATGGCTAAGAGCACGATTCTTGAGCCAAGCCGCCTCAGTTGGAGTCTCACCTCCATTGTTTATTCTCCTGTGATTTTGGACAAGAGTTTTAGTTTCTTTATTTCTTAATTTTTTCACTATTATAACAGGAATATTAATAGCACTTGCCTCATAGTGTTGTAATGAGAATTCTATAAATCGATAGACTTAATGCACTCAAAGCATGAAGTGATTTACTGAATAACCTGTTATTAGCAAATGAAGGTGATATTTTATTTGCATCTCAGAGACAAAAATGTAATGCAGACAGAGAAAAGAGTATTAGGGAGGGCATTTAGGCAAAGGGAGCAATATGAATGAGTGTGTAAGAATCCAAGTTGAATATATGAAGAATTATATAGATGGGTTCAAGGTAAAACATGCCACGTGATGTATTCAGCATGGTGAACATCACATTTAAAGAAAGCAAAAAAATCTTTCTATTCACTACTTAATGGAATATTATGACACTATAGACAAAGAATTAAATGTGAATACTGGGGTCTTGTTAGTGAATCTGTTTTTCACATGGATATGACTTAAAAATTCATAAACTAGGATTGAACAAATAAGTAAAGATGTCATAAGTAATGAGAAGTCAGACCCCCAGTGACTGAAAAAGAAGTCATACATCAGGAAAGGGTGAAGGCTGGAATCTACAATGAACCCTGTGGTACTAGGTTGGAATTAGCAATATCAGTATGACTAATGGGTCCATACACACAACACACACAGACACAAACAGATGTAGGAATGAATATGGTGTTCAAGTATGTTTGTGTTAATAAATAAGCCCCGTCTGCTGGAAAGCCCTGGAAGTAGTTGTATCATCAACAGTAATGAGCACAACCTGTATCCAAATTTTGGTTTCTAAATACTGTATTCCAATGAAAAGAGCCAAGGCCCTTGGAGAAGTGATGAATTACCAACTGAGACAGAGAAAATGAACCTAGAATATCTTGAGGTGCAGAAAATAAAGACACACTAAAATTAAAACATAATGAGTGTATATCAAAAGGTTACAAGAAGCAACCAGAAAGAGCCCCCATTAGTCAAAACTAGAATGCTTTGAGTTAAAAAAAATTAATAAAAATATTGGATATCTCATACAGAAAAACCAATATATTCAAGTCCATGCTGAATTAAATCTATAATTGAATAATTAAATAATTGGGGGAAAATAATCCTTCTTTACAGAATCTCAGTTCATAAACACTACACTAATTTTGTTGCAGATAAAAAAATACCAGTGGAGGCTAAAATAGTGAGTGAAAGTTCAAAGAGAAGCAGGATGTTTGCAAAGTCTCATATCCTCTTTCCCAGCGTCTTTGTTAAGTCTGCAAAGGCAAGGTGGCAATGTTGCAGTGGGAAAATAAGGCCTCTTAAGTCAAGTGATCAAAGTTAATGTTCCAGGTCATAAGATCTATTGGCATCATATGTCCCCAAATATAATGCACAGAGAAGGGCACAACATCACTTCTGTGATTTTATTATTTTTTTAAAAATTCTTTTTCTCTACCTAATCAGGAGAAGACATCAGATAAACATAAATGGAGACAGTCTGCAAAATAATGACCAGCCTGTTAATTAAGGTCACAAGGAGATATTAARGAACTGTCAGGGGGACAAAGCAGATATGAAACAAAATGCAGTAGGGGATCCAGGATTGGGTTCTGGAAAAGGAAATTGGGGAAAATATGGAACTGGAATCAGATGTGCCATATAGTTAATTGTATTGTACCAATACAGTTCCTGGTTTTATCATTGTACTGTGATTAAGTAAAGGGTAAACATTAGGAGAAAAAGGATGAAGCATGAAGAAAAATCTCTGTTCTATTTTTATAAATTTTCTCTAAATCTAAAATTACTTTAAAGTGGAAAGTTTTAGCTACTTAATTGCAATTCTTTAATCCGTCCTGTCTTTTTGTCACCAGTACCGCTGTTTCCCTATTTGCCTTTTTATTAGGTCCATCTTAAGAGAATTTTTTTAGGTGTTTTTTTTTTCCTCCCTTTTTCTCTTCCCTTGACTTAGTTCAGTATTTGGAAGCTAGAACATTTCAGTTTCTTTTTTTTAATGTATATTTTTAGTTGTAGATAGACATAATACCTTTATTTATTTTTATGTGTTCTGAGGATCCAACCCAGTGCCTTACATGGGCTAGACAGGCACTCTACCACTGAGCCACAACCCCAGCTCCAATTTCGCAGTTTCTTAAGCACCCTTCCTTTAGCTATGCAAAAAAAAAAAAAAAAAAAAAAAAAAAAACTCTCCTGTTTTGTTCTCTATAGTAACTAATTTCCATTAGGAACTGGACAGTAATTATAACTTTATTCATGACCTTGACCAGTTTTAGAAACTTTTTTATTCCTGAAGATCATCTTTGTCTGGTGCTGTGGCACATGCCTATAATCCCAGCAATTCAGGAGGCTGAAGCAGGAGGATCTCAAGTTCAAAGTCTTCAGCAACTTAGCAAGGCCCTAAGCAACTCAGTGAGACCTTGTCTCTAAATAAAATACACAAAAAGTATTAGGGATAGCTTAGTGGTTGAGTGCCCCTGGGTTCAATCCCTGGTCCCAAAACCAAAGAAAAGAAGAAGATCATATTTAAACTATAAACTTTGAGTTAAAATTCTTAAATTTCAGAGATCCATATTGACGTGGCTTTTCCAGGAATTGCTTTAGAACTATTTCAGAAAGCATTTTCTTGCTAAATATTATTAAGTTTAAAATAGTCAGCTATTCAGCTAAGGAAAAACAGGTGCCTGGCTGTTCCAAGAAGGTTGTGGGACAGCAGGTATTTATACCTTGTTTGTTTCCTGTTTTCAGCATTTGAAGTTATTAATTATTGTGTCTAGGAATAAAGACATAGATGGGATGTTGAACAGGAAGCTGTTAAACTTATTTGAATGATTCAGATGTCTTTAGAAATAATAATTAATCATTTTGAACAGCATAGCATATTTTCTTTTTTATCCCCCCTTTGCCACTGGGAATTGAACCCAAGGGACCTACAACTGAGGCATACCCCCACTTCTTATTATTTTTTAGTTAGAAACAAGGTCTCCCTAATTTGTTTAGATCCTTGGCAAATTGCTGAGGCTGACCTTGAACTTGCTATCCTCCTGGCTCAGCCTCCTGAATCACTGGGAATACATGTGTATACCACCATGCTCAGCCTTACAACACCTTCATGCCATATTTTGATTCTTAAAAGCATTAATTTCAAAGATGTTCAGGTGGTGATTTCTCTTAGTCCCTATCCAGTCTCTCTTGATGTTAAATATATTGTTGGAATAAGTATTCTACATTCAGATATTAATGATATTTAAATAAATAGTAATACAGTATAGAGCTAAAAGTGATTTTCCTGACTTCAGGGAGCAAGAGTTCAGAACACAGCAAAGAATTTGGGAGTGAGAGACCGGACCCCTCAATCAGCTCCAAGGTAAGTACCTCCCTGCCTTCTCTTTCCAGAGGGTTCATCAGCTTTTGTTCTGCATGGCTAATATACCTACTTTAGGATATGCCCACTATCGTTCTTATAGTATTCCTGGGGATTGACCTCAGAAACACCCAGCCACTAAGTGTGATTAGAGATAAATGATCATAATTAAATGGATACCATCCTATTTTGCACATTCCATTATGAATTTAAAGAAAAAGTCCACATGGATACAACTAACTGGGCCTACAACCAAAATGCCATTTTCATTTATCCTTCTATTATCATGCATATTCTTTCCTCTGTTGGGATTGTCTTTCCTATCTGTGTCTATATGGAAGACTCCTACTTAACCCACAAAATCTACTTTAGTTATCATCTCCTGCTAGTAGTCTTATTTGTGTTCCTTTTCTCTGGTTGCCCTAGGTATCTTGTATATTGCTGTATGATAGCCCTTATGTTATTATATTATGCTGTGGTATTTTGTGGACATGTTTCTGTGCCCAACCTGAATAGGAATTTTCAGGAATCAGTATGGATTTTAGATTTTATTCCTTTGCTCACCATAGACATCCAATATCTAAACTGATTTCAAGAAAATGTGAATGAGTTAACAGGGCTATCGTCTGAGATGCTAAATATTCACAGTTCACGCATCATCATAAGAAAGGACTCCAGTCTACCTTTAAGACAGATGAACATAGTTAGCATCCACAGAAAAAATGTTTTCCGCTCAGTTTCCCTGGTGATTAGGATAGGCAGTACATACCCTATCTTGGAGTGGGACAAAGCTAACTAATTTCTTCTACATGCAATTGCTTTTATACAATTTCCTTTGGACAGGAAGTAGGCTCCTGCAAACACTGTCATAGACAAGACACTTTTTTTATTTGTTTTTATTTGCAACACCATTACCAGAGCAAGAATGAAGACTGCAGCATTTGTGAAGTTATATTTCATTCTGAAAAACTACATGGGAAGTGAAATTTCTTTGAAAAGGAAAAACATATCCCCCACCCTGAAATGGATGGAGCACTCATTTTATAGTTGCAATTCTTTTTAGTGCTAACTCCTAACTCTGTTTAATCCTCGTCTTGTTATCGTTATCTTCCACAGTTGATTAGATTAGAATCTCCCGGTTTCTATTGCTGAAGAATCATTTCACATAAGCATTGTCTCCTCAATGCCTTGAGCAGACATGGTATATTATATAACAGACCCACTGAAGTGTTAAAATCCCAATAAAAAAAAACAAGATAATGGTTTGCAGGATATTTTTAGCTAGATCTTATAAGCACTAATAAACAGTGAGTCTGAGATAAGACTTTAGCATCCTGATCAATAAGCCAATATGCAAGCCGAACACAAGAAAAGCAACTGATGAACTCACTTTCTTCTTTATTGGTTTATGTAATACTTGAAATGAAGCCCAATAAAATTAGCCAGCTATAAAGTTAAAATAATAACCCTGAGAGATTAAGAGTAATTTAAACAAAATGGATTTTAGTTACTCTTTTATTCATTCTACAAGAATCTATTTAGGACCCAAGAAATGCAGCCCACTCTGCTATGCCTCATGAAAAATGTAAACTTGAAATAGAAGTAGCTCTGGCCCTCAAGGAGCTTTTAGTTAAGTAGGCTTGGTAAGGAAAACATCATTGTAAGCAAAGGTGGAATGTGAGAAGCTGCCCTTGGAGGGTGCAGAGAGAATTCTAAGCACAGAGGGCTGGGATTCCTACTCAGCTAGAACAGCACTCCATCCTCAAAGGCAGTGAGTTGAAAGACACATTTGCCTCTCAAGCTCAGACCACCCACAGGCAAAGCTAGGGTAGTGTTTCTGGAAGGTACCTTCACAAAAGTCTAGTGTGCTCTCTCTGCCTGAGATGGTCTTTGGTTCAAATCCCCCAACCCATCTCCATCATAGTACACTACATGTGATAATAACTGTGACACAAACCGAGCATAAATTGTCATGAGAACATGGAAGAATCATGCGCAGCCAAAGGAGGGAGAAGGAAGGTCACAGAATGCTCCTGGTTTAGACACGGGGGCCCAGAGAAAACATCACATTCTGAGAACCATACTTTAGTCTGTGTGACTGACAGTTGAAAGTGATTTAAGAATAATGTTAAGCAAGGCTGGAGATGCAGGCAGGGGCCAGATCAGAAAGAGACGAACCAGAAATACTGAAGAGTTTTTATCTTAACTTGAAGACAGTAGGGAAGCATCAATAATCTTCTTACTTGGAAGAAGATCTGACTTTTAGAATTTGTCTCAGGTGACATTAGAAGGGTCTATTTCTAAGACTGAAGATAGAAGTTTGAAAGGAGACTATTGAGAAGCCCTGTGAAAGGGTGGATTAGAACAGTGCTTAGAAGGCAGACTTACTAGTCTTTGGACCCAAATTGAATGAAGATAGATAGGGGAATGGAATATTCCAGAGTGACTATAAAATCTTTGACTTGGGTAATAAGGGGTTGGTGGTTATTTCCCCTGAGATAGTGGATCACAGGGACTTCCGTGTGGGTTATATTTGTGGGCAGTTCAACACACTGTTCCAAAGCAAAGGAGAGGCAAATAGGTGGAGCTGTGGTCCTGTGAGTCACCAATATTTAGAAGGTCAGTGAGGATATAGAAGTGAATTTTATTGCCATGGTGAGTGGATAACAGATGAAAGAAGATCCAGAACCCACCAGAGAAATGCCAATAATGAAGAGAAAGCAAAGGAACAGGAGTGACAGAGTCAAAGGAGAGCACTTGGAAATGTGGAAGGAGCTGGTTGATCTGGGATTCAAAAAAGGAGGAAGTGGCTGTGGTCACACCATAGAAAGAGTGAACGGAATAATTTTGGAATCAGAATGCTGGAGAGAGGAGTATTAGGGTTTAATAGTGCTGAGGTAGGTTGGTTCTGAGTAGTGACAACAGAAAGTCTACTCCTGGGAACAGGTTTCCTGGACATCTTGGCTTCATCACATTTTGCATACTCCCCTCTAGGAATCAGGGACTGAAACGTGTCAGAAACTACTTTTGGTTTTAGGATATCAAGGTGATGAGACGCATTCCATGTGTTCTAGGCGCTTGCAGTCCAATAGAATGGGAAGAAAAAATAGATTTGGGCAACCAGATGAATGTGCTGTGATTGAATGGCGCTGAAGTAGGGGTTGGGGGCAGACTTCCTCTCTTTGGCTCCCATGTTTGCAAAGCAATTATCACATTTTCATCAACAACCAAATATGACATTCCAAATGTCAGATCACTAGTTGTGGCATATTGTTTTCTGTTATGTCACAAAATCTGGAAGTATTGTGCTGTAAAGACTTTATTTGTGTAGTGGGAAGGCCACATCGTACTATAGTGGTTAAAAATGAAGAAAAGAAGAAAAGTGATTTTGAGGAGTCCCAGATCCTGCTACGTGATCTTAGTGAGGTCTTCGTTTTTTGAGATTCTATTTTCCAATCTGTAGGATAAAGAGAATTGTCTTGAGATAGAGTACCATTGGTACTTGGGAACCTCAGAAGAGGCATTTACTTTGTCGTCTCCATTAATACATCTTATATTTTTGCTATAGAGAAAGATAAAGAGCATGGGCTGGGGTTGTGACTCAGCGGTAGAGTGCTCACCTAGCATGCGCGAGGCCCTGGGTTCGATCCTCAGCACCACATATAAATAAATAAATAAGATAAAGGTATTGTGTCCAACTACAACTACAACTAAAAAATAAATATTAAAGAAAAGAAAGATGAAAAGCCTGATCTATAGAATAAAGTTTGAAAATTCTTCTCTCTGCTAATTTGAATTTGGACGGAATCACCAGCTCCAAAAATGGCTCCCTGAGCCCAAGCAGGAATGGGAGGAAGTGGAGCCAGGAACAGACCTCACTCCTGCAGGGCACTGGTATGCATGAGTGTAATGAGAATACAGGAAGGGCCCCAAATGTTGGGCAAAAAAAGGCCTCCCGGTGCCCAACAATGTAGCTGCCAAAACACAAATGCCTCAGAGCCGAGTTGGAGTCCAACTCTTTACCTATTACATTTTACTTCCAAACTTCATCTGCCTGCTCTGAATTCCCAGAGCTCAACAATTTCCATTACAAATGTGGCTGAACTCAAATAACCCTGAGTCTCTTCCAAGAAGCCTCAGAAGCTGAATCTGTCCAGCTCCACAGAACCCAGAGCTATTATTTCATTAGGTGATCACAGAGAGTAGCCTTTTCTCCAATTTGCAAGGCAGACATTTCAGACTCATCTACCCAGTGGCATTAGTTACATTCTGTGCAAACGTGCAGAGCAAGGTAATGGGATGTGGTGGCACAGCCCAGATCTCATGGGTCAGGACGTCCACCGCCCATCCTCCTCTTTCTTTTCTACCTGAGTAAAAGCCATTGTGCTTTCTTACTCCTTAGGCAGCCCTGTCAGGGAAATAAGAGGACAGAAATTAAGGAGGAAAAGAACCTTCTGATCATCCTATTTTTTTTTTCAGTCCTGAGAAAGCAATTTGAAGTAACACCCTATCTTTCAGCTGCAAAAGAACATTTCAAGTACACCAGCTCAATTTAATGCATTCTCTTCTCCAGGAAAGATGAAATAAGCTTTTATAATGTGACATGTCCTTAGTTCAGTATTCATCTCTTCCATGGAGATAACATATAGAACATAAACCACCTTCTCGACTTGAAGTACATTCAAAGATAATACATTCTGCGTTTCCTAAGAAAGTTCATGTTGTTAACCGAATTTACAACTCTAAATCAAAGCTTTCTCCTTCTTCCCCATTGATTTAGAATTAGCATGGAATTAAATGTCAAAGGAGAGGGAATTTATAATTTACTAAATAGGTTAACAATTCATTTAAGCTGTGTTCAATGTAATCTGTAAATGGGAGTGAATCACTACAGCTAGCCCTGAGTTTGTACTGCTTTTGAAAAAGGGAAAAGTTGGGACTCAGAGTGTGGCTCAGAGGTAGAGTGTGTGCTTAGCATGCAAGCAGCCCTGGGTCCAATCCTTAGCACCAGAAATAAATAAACAGATGAAGGGGTATCGTCGGATTCTGCGTTTAAAGTCATTAGCTTAAGCTCTGCAGTGCAACCAGTGTGGAACCTTGGTCACTATTAGGGGTAACAGGTGTAGTCCAATATCCAACCACTTCAGTTCAGCCTCTCTTCTTTCAGGATACACTGAAATTAACGCACATGGCCTTGAGGTCACTAGAGTTAGGGTTATCTGGCAGCCACCATGTTCACTTTTACTTTGGTTCTAGAATTAGGATTCAACTATTAAAAAGAATGTGGAGACTGGAACTTGTGTAACCTTAGCTAATTCCTTAGAATTTTTTGTTAGTGCTCAAACAAAGAGGAGCATCTCCAGGCATTTCCACAGTTAATGTGGATTCTTTGACCCACTTTAGAATCCACTGACCAGGTAAGCGATAGACGGCAGAACCAGGTGGCCAGTCCTTAGGAAACCCCAGCTAGTGTGCCTTTGAGATTCAGGCCTCAGGAATCTGCCATGTCAGGCCATTATTCACATCCACACCATAGGCATAGTCCAAAATGCAGTTAACTTCAAAACTGGTCAGAAAACCAGCAGATCCCTGTGAGATAAGAGCTGTCTTCCTGTAAACAAGATATTCATAATGACAGAGGTGATGGCAATTATAATAATATCACCTCCTGGAATTCAGAGAATAGATTTTTATTACCAGCAAGCTTAGCAGGCTTGGATTGGCAGCACTGGAGCAGAACAGCAGATTTTTTAAATGCAGTGTTGCATAATCAGTAGCCATTGAGAGATGCAAAGAAACCTGGTTTTCTAAATCACAGAACCAAAATTTTAGAGTTTGCTTATTCATATGCTATGCTTAGTGAAGTAAACAATGCGGCCTTGACTCGTAGAACCAAAAATAATTACTTTCAATGTATTTGTTATACCAATAAAATTATCTCAGGTAAGGTGTAAAAAGTGGGCAGCTGTCCAACTTACCTGTGCCTCTTCTAGGCTGTACAAGCTGTGCGAGCCCCCTCCCCCGGCTGGAGAAGAATGAAGAGAATCCCAAGGAACCAAGCAGGTGGAAGCTTCTGAACACTGGCCCTGACCAGTACATGCTGGTTCAGCATTCTCCACTGAAAATAAAAGAACTGCATTTTTTTTCTTTCCTCTAAATCTTTCCCCACGGTGTTTTATAACTAATGCTCAGTTTGTACTTGGATATTTATGCTGGAAACGGGTAGGAGTTCATTCAGACTTCAGCCTCACAAAGTGATCTCTGTAGATTGACATCATGTCTTCATTTTTTGTGCAAAAATTCATCTCCGGAATTTATAGAAAAAAAAATGTCCGAGATAAAAACATTTAACTATTGGTCTCCTCTCGGATTCATTCATTTGATATTGTATCTGTTTTCAGTTTCCCCAAATGGACACATGTAATAATGGATAGTTTTGCTTGAAGAAGTCTGTCACTGAAAAACACATGGCCACACTCGACACATCATCATGTGAAAGTTGAAAATGGTATAGACTGGGAGGCATAGGTTTTCCATCCCCCATTCATGTCAGAGGAGGGTATATGTGTGGAAGCTGAAACATATGCTTCTTTGTTTGTCCTAAGGGCTGCTCAGTAGAGGAGAAGGGAGCTTTCAGGCCTCCAGCAAGACTTTCTTCCATTACTTCCAAGTGTACTTTATGCTCATGAACATGTCCAGTGAGCTGGTGCTGTCCTTGGTCTCTGCTGTGGGCCTGGCTTCCCAAGGATACCTGTCTCGAATGTCGTAGCCAATGGCCCTGGGTAGGGCATGGTGTGGGGATCAGCAAGGTGAGGGGAAGGGGAATGGGTAAAGAAGAAAAAAATAAACCTATTTAAAAACTCACTTGTCTACCTTAGAAAGAAACCTAAAACTCAGTTTTTGGAAGCCTTTCCACAAGATGTCAGACTCAAAAGAATTCACCATCAGGAGTGCGTTTTTCATCCAAGTATTGTACAAGATGTGAAAATAAAGCTTTACTTGTTATACTTTAAAAGGACCACTGGAAACCTTRATTGTGGACACAAAGTATATTCCATGTTCATCCTAAAGTATGTGTAATTTTTGTCATTTCTGCACTGATATAATAGTATGGTTTTATCATTGTGAATAATTAACATTTATTTTAAACTCATAATTCTCAAAATAATGGAAAGACTCGTATTGTGTTTATAATAATTAGAGCCACACTTTGCTTCACAACAGGAGGAAGCTCTGAGAAAAGTATCACTAGGCAATTTCATCATCATGCAAATATCATGCGCTTACACAAGCTGAGATGGCTATGACATCATTAGATGGTTTAATTTGTGGGACCCCTGTCATAGATGCTGTCCTTCATTAACCAGAATGTCATTATGCAGCACATGACTGCATGTGGATTTAGACTAAGTATGTGAAATAACCATGGTTTAGGCAAATCGTTATTAAATTTTAATTTGCAAAATCTAATAATGGCTTTCACACTATCATTAAATACCTTCATCACTAGCAGCTGTGTTTTGAATAACAAAAATACCGTGTTCTATATTATGTCTGTAAACTTACTGGTCAAGGTAATAGTTGTCATTTGGCATGGAAGCACTTGAGATTCTTCTGTTGAGCCCATAGGTATAGCAACAAACAAGGAAACCAAGGTCAAAGTTTCCAGAGCAAAAGTTGGACATTTTGAATTTAATGAAGATAACGACCTTCACATAAGTTTCTATATTAAATAACTCTGGACTCTCTGAGGTCTCACATTCTTGACATTTTCAGCAAGTGATCCTGAAGGCTCATCTAATTTGTGATTTTTTTTTCCTGTTCTGAAAATTCAATAACTTTCAATGCAGGGCTAATGAGTGAACACACCTGGTTGATTAGCTGGTGCTTATCATGTTGTCATGACTGTCTTCTAGTCAGCATCCTGGCAGTGATCCTCATCAGAGGCCTGTCACCTAAACATTTTAGAACTTTGCCACCTCTCCTGGGCCCCACTATCTGCTCTTTAGGTATTTACAAATTAACATATTTTAAAGGGTCTAATCTCTATAATAGAAAATGCTCAGTAATATTTCCAGGGTTAAATGTACGTGTACAGTCTATCAGTGTATATGCCACTTACTAAATTCATCAACGCCTGAATGGTTCCTATTAACATGAGTCACTCTTGTTTTTTACTGTAATAATATCTGTAACTAATATTTACTAAATGATCACTGTGTGCTAAGTGGCACCTCTGATTGCTTTTCCCACATTTTGTTACTACTTCACATAATCCTCATAACATTGATATTAGTTGGTMTTCTTTTTATCACTCCCATTTTATTTGCATTTGAGGAACTGAAGCAAAGAATGTTCCAGTGACTTGTACCGGTTCGTATGACTCACAAGGGGTAGAAGCAAAATTCGAACCCAGGAAATCCTTTTTCTTAATATGTTATGCTGCTTTTCCATGTTGATATAACAACTATTGTAATATTACCAATTACTTGTTAGTAAAGTTGGAGTTATATGGCATGTGTTGCCATGAAAATATACATATTAAGCTGAAAATAAAAGTGAATGGGGGCTGGGGTTGTGGCTCAGTGGCAAAGCACTTGCCTCGCATGTGTAGATCACTGGGTTCGATCCTCAGCACCACATAGAAATAATAAATAAAAAATAAAGATATTGTGTCCATCTGTAATTAAAAAAAAAAGTGCATGGAACTATGTGAAATGCCTTTAACACATGAAAATCACAGGATTTCCTGGACATTTTACCATTTGGATACACATTTTGAGGAAACCCAGTGCTGTTGCAAACTGAACAAAATATTTTATATCATATGCCTTATAATCTAAGATGGCAGTTTTAGATATATATTGCAAGTCTAGAGTGTAATGATATAAAATTTGACTATCAATTCCAAAACAGTGATAATAGTAGGGAAAAAAAACATCTAATGGGTCAATTTTTCAATACCATATTATGTCTCCTTATGATACTGGACATTTAATTTGCCTTGAATTTTAAAACCATGTTCCTCTGTAACCATGTTTCCTTCAAATATTGCTAAAGCCTGCTAACTGCTCATCCAAACTCTGGATTTGGACATCTGCCCCTTCCTACCTAAAAGGGAAAGAGAGTCATGCACTGAAATTTGGGATCTCTGCATAGGACCTGACTTAAAAATAATTCATTAGTGGGGCTGTGGTTGTGGCTTAGTGGTAGAGCACTTGCCTGGCACATGCGAGACACTGGGTTTGATCCTCAGCACTATGTAGAAATACAATAAATAAAATAAAGGTATTGTGTCCATCTCCAACTAAAATGTATTTTTAAAAATAATAATTAGTAATTCAGAGTCAATGCATCATAAATATTCTATCATAACTGATACATATTTTCTAATATTATAAAATTTAGTGTGCTGTTAAAGAGAATGAGGAGTTTGAAAAACACTAGAAATTTACATCTATTTCCATTAGAATTTAAGGAAGGGGGAGAATTTCTGTACTAGTTTTACTTTTGTGAGCAATGTGATGTTGAATTTAGATTGTAAGCTTTATTTTAAAAACCAGTATCCCAACCTGAAGTCCTACACTATCTTCTGTTCCTTCAAGCACATTCTTCCAGTGGTTTAGGGTCCTGTGCATTTTGGCTACTCTTCTTCATTTTAAAATGAGATCAGCTTCTTAGGATACTATAAAACCTATGACATTGATTACGACTATTCATTTAAATTTTGTGATCATTAAATGAAAAAGGAAATGAAGTTGATCCTAATCATAATCGTACTAGCCAAGAAAATGAACAGGCAAGCAAATTGTAAGGAGCAAACTGATTCAAGGAAAGCAAACCCTTTTCAAGGTTTTTTTCTGGCAGCATATTTTATAGGCAAGATTAGTATTTATTGATTTGGAAGTTTTAGGTTGAGAATAAATTACTCCATGTATTTAAAACTAATAATATATTTTTTACCTAAAATACTAAAGTATTCTTTCACTAGATGAAGTAGATATTTTTCTGTATAACATGGTTTAATGCTGATTAGTGGGCACCTTTTTTATTCACTTATGTTTTTATAAACTCATAATAAGGAAATGTGAAATCAATAGTCATCCTTTAGGTCACTTGTACTTTATATTTTACTTCAAATGTCATTCTCCTTTACAAGTACTATTGAAACTAGATTGGACTGAATTGCTTCTGAATGTTTGGAAACTATATTTAATTTTTAAGGACTAATTTTATGTGTACCATCTTACTAAATTATAGTTTAACAACTCATAGTTATAATAATAACTATATATATATATATATTCATTTACCTGTTTTCTTTAACCTGTTTGCTGAATGGGTTGTCAGTTGTCTTCTTTAACTCTTAGGGGAAAAGATTTTGAAATGGTTTAGGATGATCTGAATTTCAATTATGAAAAAAAATATTTTGTATTCTCTCAAGTGTTTGCAGTTTAAGTGATGATTCTCAGCAAAGCTTTAACTTTCAGAACAGATTGGGAAAATATAAGAGGGGTTGTGCCAAGAATAGCCCCAGGTGATTCCCTTTACAAATACTGGCCGCCATCTTCCTTGGTGCTACAATTCCATAATAGTCATTATGGCTAATCTTTGGTTTCAGAAGAATTTGACTACTTCAACAATTTGCCATTAAAAGCAATCTCCGTATTCATATTGGCAAACATCTATGAGCAAACATGGAAGACTGTTATGTGGCCTGTGTGTCTTTTAGCCTTTGTTCCCTAGACACAAGGCCTACTTCACTCAGGATAGTTTGCGTCTGTCTATGAGAAGAGATTTCTGAAGTCTACTAGGTGTACTAAATGATATATATCTGTATGTATGTCTCTCTATATATTATATGTATTTACTACTTTTGTTTTTATGATAACTCATAAAAGTCACTGAGATTCTTATGTCTTGTTTTACAGTAAGATATGAAAAATGGAATTGTTCAGTGTATGTAATGTAGACATCAGAGCTGTTCAAAGTAGTAAGTGTACTTGGTTGAACATCTTTCAATCACTGATGCTAGTTTGGTATATTTTAGTCTGCTTTTTGTAACCATTACAAAATGCTTGAAATAATAAGCTTATAAAGAAAAAAAGGCTTGTTTCAGCTTACAGTTTGAGAGGTTCTAAATGATCAGTTGGCCCCATGGTGTTGGGCCTGTGGCAAAGCAACATATCCTGGCAGGAGTACATGGCAGAGCATAACCACTCAACTTGTGATCAGAAAGCAAGGAAAGAAAAGGGACCAGGGTCCTGCAGTCCCTTTCAAGGATACACCCCCCAATGACATAACTTTCTCTCATAAGCCCCACCTGCATGTGGTTCCACCAATAGTGCCCTCTACTACATGGACTTTTGAGGGACATTCAAAATACAAACCATACTACTCACAATTCAGTTTGAAATTATTTGATCTGGCTTTGCCATCAAGAAGTAGCTGATTAAAAAGAAAACCGTTAAGTTTTAAAATTACAGTTCTACTAGAAATAGGAAGGTTTTGATAGTTAATTTTAGGTGCAAATAACAGAATAAATGTCATGTAGGAATTCAACAAATGCTTTCAGGATTTTATGTTGTACCTGGTGCAGCTGGTGGGTCAAGTGTTCGTGTCGGTTGTTTGGTTTGGAAATCTTCAGTGTGTCTGTGTTTATTGATCACTTGTATCTTTTAAAATGACAATATTTGTAACAAACCTATTCTAATATCATGTGCATATAAATATTGTATGWAGTCAAGAATACTAAGTTGGTGAAATACTTTAGAAAACACTTTCAAATTTGAATAATGCTTCAAGCAAATTTATTAGAGTTTCAGATGAATATATATTTTTGTAACTGCCAAGTAAATGAGTAGAACGTAGCTTTTTGATTAAAAAATATTTTTATAAGTACTCATTTACACAGTATTCATTATTTTAAGTAGCAAAATATCATATTGGTTCTATAAATAATAATTGTTTTAAGTATATCTATATTTAACATCATATAACATCCCAAATTTAATGATATATTTCATCTCAATGTGTTATTAGCCCCTTTTCTTGTAAAATATCTATGTAACATAGTTCTGATCACTTCATATTTTGTGTATGATTAAAATTATCAGGGTGAATTATGTATTTTATGTCATTTATTTGTGTGTGCATTAAATATTGAAATGGTAACATTGTATCATAAATATCAACAATAATAAAGGGAATTGTAGTGTAAGCAGTTCAGCTTCTTTTCATTTACATGTAATTAATTCCTCTTACATTCTTCCCCGATTAAAAGACCAACTATGAAACATGGATTTTTTTTTTCACCCTTCAAGAATTCACAAACTTGACTGGCTCAGTGGTGTGTGCCTGGAATCTCAGGGACTTGGGAAGCTGAGGCAGGAAGATCACAAGTTCTAAGCCAGCTTCAGCAACTTAGCAAGGACCTAAGCAATTAGCAAGACACTATCTCAAAAATAAAAAGGGTGGGGGATGTGGCTCAGTGGTTAAGCACCTCTGGGTTCAATCCCTGGTTTTAAAAAAAAAAATCAAAAGCTCAATAGAAGAAAGTTGATATGTGTGCATGAAGCAAATATATAAATTGAGCTGGAGAGAAAGGAACTACTAGGAAGGAACCAGAATAAGAAGCTTGATAATGAGACATGGCATAGGAAACATCATGGGAGATAAGACCTGTGCTGTTCTCTGAATTAACTAGCCAAGCTTTCAAGGTGTCTCCAGTACTTAAATTATGTATGAGCCATTCTCCTGGTTGCTGAGGGTGTTACAAATGCACATAATTCCCTAAACATAAGGTTAAAGAAATTGGTATATTTAAGGTGATTCATGGAGTGCACAGACCAAAATGTTAACTACCAATGGAAAGCAATGAGAAGCACAAGCTACAGAAATTGAATTTAGATTCAATTAAACTTGAACTTCTGGAACATCTACAGATTACTTATCAGCTACTGAGCTAAGCTGAAGAATTTGTAACTAGAAACACATATATGGCCATTGTTGTAATGGAGTTTACAGACTAAAGGAGGAAACATTGATATTAATATAAAAAATGATGGGAGAAGGCTAGGTTAGCAAGGGTAGTGGCTTTCAGGACAGATAAAATTAAGCAGCAGGATAAGGGAAACTTTTTAACCTTGTTAGCTAGAACTGAAYGACTCTAAGACAGAAATGCAGTGGTATTTTGGTAGGGTGGTGAACAGATTTGTCCGGACAGAGGATAAAGATGTGCGGATATGATTAGAAAAAGACAGATGGAAAATAAGATGGGGTTTGGGTGGTGTGCATCTCTGAAGGCCAGGCTGAGAGGTCTGGACATAGAGAGTATAAGAAAATTGAGATAAATAGCTGATGGCAGTGATAAGGAATTACAAATTCCAGGTGGGAAGCTTGAAGAATTTGTAGCTGTTGAAGGTGTGGGCTAGCTTTGGAAATGTCAAAAACAATATTAATGGAAGAAGCAAAAATCAATAACTGGATTTTACTTTTTGCAGATTGCTAGTAGACTCTGAGATGGCAAATTTAATACAGCTATAAGAGTGAAAAAATAGAATCAGCAAGTGTAGGCTGTTTG